AGAAGCATTGCTGTATGAATTATGAAGGCACTTGTGAATTTCTGATGGTNTACTATCAGAGTTACCTCAAGTTCTTCAGTTTGTAATTGAACAATTGTGTTATGTAAGGTCAATTCTATTTAAGTACAGTGGAACCCCGGTTAACGAACATCCTGGTTAATGACCAAATCGGTTAATTTAATTTAATGAACTTTTATTTTGCAAAAATTTTGTCTTGGATAACGAACAATATTCGGATAATGAATGTAACGGTATTTTGTGTGAAATTTTGTTGGTGTTAGGCGTGCGCGAGTTAAGCACTGCTTTTCCGAGTGTTTGTGCTATACTTCTTTTTTCAATTTTGTGATTTTTATATTTAATCAATATGGCATCCAAGAAAGAAAAAAGTCATAATGGCAATAAAAAAAGACAATGCAATATAAACGACAATGCACTAGCGCATCTGAGAAAAATTTTGATTGAAAGAGTAAGACAATCAACTTTAGATCAATTTCTTGTTCCTTACAGAAAGAGTTTGTTTGTTTGTTAAGTTTATGGCAACGCAACTTATGGCAACGCAACACTTGGGTGATTTGCCTAGGGGGAATGCCTTCTGGGAGGTGTTTTTAAGGGAAACTGGTCCCTATTTAGATGTTACAGACTTGGAGAAAACCCAGAAAACTCTACGTGACCAGCCCGTCCGAGTGGGGTGCGAACCCACAAACAAACTCCCCGTGTTCAAGGTACGAAGACCACTTAGTCACTGGTGGGGTTTTTTACCGAAAGAGACTTCGACTCGAAGAATCTTCTGATGAAGTGCTACTCGTTATTTTTTTGGAAGGGATGCCCCTTCTAAGCATTAAGGTTCGTACATCTCCACTTTTCTGCCACCAACTACAGCAAACGAAGATATGTACAGTGCTATTTTATTAAACAAAGTTTACATGTTTGTTGATGTAATGATAGATACTACGTTTTCCGACATTTTCATCAAAGAAAATTACTGTATATTACAAATAAAATCACAAAAATTTTGGAGACTAGAACGGATTAATTGCATTTACATTAATTTCTATGGGAAAAATTACTTCGGTTAACGAACAATTCAGTTAACGAACGGAGTCGCAGAATGGATTAAGTTTGTTAATAGGGTTCCACTGTATTTTATCCTTTCTTCAAGATATGTAGAACACATTTTATCCATTGTATTGTGATTATGTTCTTGTTTATTTTTCCTCAGGCAATTTGCACATTTTGGTTTTCATGTTTTTTTGGTACAGTCTTTAAACAAGTGGTTCTCATTACAATGGCTACATATGTTCTCAGATGCAGGGCAATTTCTCGCTATGTGTCCAAATGACAAACATTGCAGTATTGAAATAAATTCATATGCACTATAGGTTAACTTTCTTTCCTTTAAGAATTCTTTTTCTTATATCAGAAGACACTTCCATCACCTAGGAAACATATTCATCACTTTTTGTTTTAAGGAGAATCTAATTTTAATCTGTTCAGCATATATTTGAAAAGAAATATCTTCAAATAAATGTGTATTCTGTTTATATATATCTTCAATAAGTTCTTCTTCGCTAACAATTGAAGGAACGGACACTATTTTGATTAAAGGCAATCTCTTTTTAGGCATGTTGGATGTTAAACCTGTGACTCTGTCTACAAACTCTTTGAAGTGTGCAGCTTCTTTTTGATAACTTAAATCAACAGCAACTCCACCATTATTTATTTTTCTAACACATTTTATTCCAACTCCAATATTATGAAGCTCTACATTTTGAAGTAAGTTGTTTTTTGTCTGGTCAGATGTTGAATTCTCATTATTGTTGTACACTAAGACTGTATGTGCTAATGCAGGCAGAGCTTTAACAATAATAAACAATATATTACCTTGTTTTAATGCATCTCTATAACTAGGATAAATAGCATTTCTTTCAATTGTGTGTACGTCAGATGGTTGCTTTCCGAAATTATTCACTTTCTGAAGGATATCTTTCAAAATATTAATTGATTCTTTATCCTGGGAACCCCGAATCTCTTTAAGTCTCCGTGGTTGATATAACAGAAAATCTTTGATTCAAGCTTTCAAACAGTCTTTGTTTCTCAAAGACCGCTTTAGTGTGTTCAATCACTCTGTTAAACTGTGTCAAGATATAAGTCAAATGGCATTCCACCCAAGTCTACCCCTAGGGTTACACTGTGAATAATTCTGTATTTCATCAAGAATTCTGTTAGCAGAATCATGAAATAATTTTCTCTCCGATTCCATATTGAACAAAGAAGAAAATGGTCCAGTGAGACAATAAGAAGTTGTCAAAACGGGACATGTGTAATCTTTGGTTCATGAAATGTTAGATTCATCCTGTTTATTCAGTTGAATGTTGGCATTCTCATCCTTTAACAATAGATTGTTATATTTTCTTAGTGTTTTGTTGATGAGAAGGATGACATTCAATCTTTTTTCTGCACGATATTTTCTTAACAATCGTATTAGAGAAATATTTCCGTAAATTAGAGCAAAATCAAGTTCTCGATCTCACACACAACATGGTTCACAAAAATTATTGCAAAAATGCAAAGAACCCTTTGCTTGCACATATTGGAAGACCTAGGTTTTTGAAACAGTGAAAAATAAATAAAAACCTTGTCTTATATGCAAGTAAATATGGTATTCCATGTTGTATGCCTCTTTTGTGAGGAATTATATTACTGTATATATAATTTCTCTGCTTGTGAGAAATTCTCTTGCCTTTTGACTCCCTCAAAATACAAATCATTCTGAAAAATCATATCACTTGTTTTTATGTATTCATCAACCAAGGCTGTCATTTTTCTTCTTAACATATTCTCTGTTCTTTATGCTGAATTCCTAGGAATCTCATACGCTAACTGATTTTCTTTTGCATCTTGCCTAGGTACATACCTCATAGATTACTACTTTTTTTTTTTTCAAAGAAATTGTTTATAAATTTCTCAACAAATATGTGATGAAATATTTTTACAAGTACTTCAAAGTCTTGAATATGTATGTAAATTTTCTGCTATGTAGTTAAGATTAAGATAATACAATAATTAATTATAGTAATACAGTACACACAGTAATTAAGATAAAATTAACTTTAAAAATAGAAGTTCAAATATATCTGCTTGTAAATTATAAAAACTTTGTATGTGAATGGATTATATGATATGATACTAGTCTTCTTGGTATTGAACTTGCTAATTATGATTAGTAATACCAAATTTCTTTTTATACTGCTTGAATTAATAATATAAAAGCCATTGTGTGTGTTTTTGTGAATTCCCTATAACTCCTGTAATTTTTGTCTAATTAAGGAGGAATTTTAGTCATATTCATTTTATGTTTCAACAAAAGTATAGGCTATTCAATTTTTGAAAATATTAGCTATTAGCTTCAAAAAAGGTTTTATTGATTTTAGCTTACAAGAAGACAGCCAGGCGTTTGCCTGTCTGATTTGAATAAAACTTGGTGAGCATGTAGCCCTAAACACAAACAGATCCTTGTCCAAATAATAGGACCCACTTCTCAAGCATTTCCAAAAAATTATTTTCTGAAAATTGAGTGTGTAGCTTATAAATCTTTGGAAGAATCACTTGTAATTAAGATAGCTGAGTGAATATGAAACTAGACATAGGAACGGCTTGATGTAGGTTTGAGCCTTTGCACTTTTAGTTGTTTTTCTTTTAATTTTGTGTAACAAAATGATTTATTATTTTACCCATATCATTAGTATTATTATTACTACTCTTATTTCTCACATTTAAAGCTTATAACACAAGATATTAAAAAACGTGATACCATTTCCTGTTTAGCGAAATGAAATCTCCGTAGATTTAACGCTTGTATGACATTAAATAAAATTTTTATTTCTTCATATTTATTTTCAGATATTTTCACTTCTGATTACATATTATGACAGCACAAGCGAATAAGCTTCAGACATTACTGTGGATGGTCAAAAAAAGACGAGTCTGGTATGAATATAGGGTAGCATAGTTGCAGTGTTTTTTTTAATTTTTAATGTTATAAACAGTTTCCTCGTGCACTCATGTTTGTTACACTTCAAATATAACAATATAATACTATCTGAAAATTAATATGAGGAAGTAAAAATTTTATTTAATGACATACTGGAGTTAAATCTACAGAGACTTCATGTTCACTAAATGGGAGATAACTTCACGTTTTTTAAATCTTTTTATAACCTTTAAACTTGAGGAATAACAATAGTAATAATAATGCTAATGATACAGTACAGTAAATTAATAAAATAAGTTTGTTACACATTTTAAAAAAATCTAAGACTGGAAAGGCTCAAAATTGCAAAGCATCTATACATACACCTAGCATCTTATCCACTTTGTTATATCAGTTATGAGAACTGAACCTTCTAAAGACTTATAAGCTAAATACTCAATTTTCAGGGGTCCATTTTTCAAAAATGCTTGAGAAGTGGGTCCTATTATTTTGATAAGGATCTGTTTGTGTTTAGGGTTATGTGCTTGCCTAGTTTTGTTCGAATCGGAGAGGCAAACATGATGTCATGTTACATTTTTAAGTGTTTCAGTAAATGGCATAATTTTAAATTAAATTAAACATTAAATTAAAAAAAAATAACTACATTGTATTACTTTACAACAATTTAAAAAAAAAATTCCATAGTGACTTTGTAGTCATTCTATTATCCAGTTAGAAGTAAGGATGTAATGAGCCTTAAGCCCCAATCCCGAGATAACTCGAATTAATTTAAAATGTATTATCGCACATCAATTATATTCAAAGACATAACTGATGTGTTTATAGAGTTTGTAGAAATATTAGCTAATCTTCTTGAATTTCTAGAAATCTCCACTCTTCTCATTTCTTAAATCTGTTTTTTCATAGAAAGTAGTCCATATGCTTGATGGAAATTTCTACTAATATGATGATCATCATATAACATCATCTTATATAACATGCAGTTTTTAAAATTCTAAAATGTTTCTAGGTACTTCACTAAACAAGAACTTCGGGAGTTATTTATTCTTGAAAATCCTTATCATTCCACAACTCAAATGCAGTTAGAACAAATGCATGCAAGCCAAAGAGTCACAGATGTAGATTTAGATAGCCATGTTGCATTTCTTCACAGCCTTAAAATATTTGGAATCAGTGACCATGATTTAATGTTTAGTGGAAATTTTTCGAATAAAAGAGATGAAGGACAAATTCCAGAGGATTACATTCAACAAAGAGTAAATTCAATTAGCAATATTTTCTTGTTATCTTTATCAAATTAACTACATTGAAAAATTTTTTAAGGTTGAAAAAGCACAGATGATGCTCCAAATTGAATCTGCACAAACAATGGAAGATATTGAAACTAATAAAATATTTGCCAGGCCCTTTAATGTTTCGCTTAACTCAAGAAAAACAAACAGCATTGGTAAGTCTGTAATTATTTTTATCTTATGCCAAAAATGAACATTTGATGAGGATTACCAAATTTGTTAATTTACTTATTTTATTAAATATTTTTTTTATTTGTAAATCATTAGTTATATTTGGATTGTAGCAATAATGATGCTTTAGTTTACTGCTTTAGATAGATATTAGATATCAACTATCTATTCATGTTTTATATAACTTTTTATAGTAGTTTTCTCAATTAACTTAGCTTACACAGAGCATATCTAGTTATTTGAAATTCTCAATCTATAACTTAAGATAATTTATTATTAATATAAGTTTAAGAAAGAATGATGAAAACCAATCCTCAAGGAATTCCATGTGTAAGATAAATGCTTGAAATGTGAAATCTGATATTTTCATTATAGATTTGTCCACAATGTTTACATATTTTGCAAATAGAAATTGTTTAAATTTTTCTAGGAGCTAGCTAGTTTTGTCACCTTTGAAGTAGTCCCCTCCTGAGTTTAGGTACTAACTCCAGCTTTTTTCTGCCATGAACTGAATAATTCTTTTGGAGTGCTGCACTATTCTGCTAGTGAATTTTCCTTAACGGCATCAGTGGATTCAAAATGGTGACATTTGAGAGTGGATTTTAATTTGGGAAACAAAAAGAAGTTTGCTGGAGCTTAGTCTGGTGAATAGGGAAGTTGGGGATCAAGTGACATTGAGTTCTTGGCCAAAAACTATTATCAGCAGTGATGTGTGGGTGGGTACAGTACATTGTCATGATGCTCTTTTCTTCAAGCAGTTGGTCTTTTCTTCCTCATTATTTCACAAAGATATTTCATCACTTTTGGATAGTATTCATGGTGAATGACACCTTCAGAATCAAACAAAACAGTGAGCAAGACCTTCACATTCAATCAAACTTGTCACAACTTTTTGGGTTATGGTGAAGATTTTCCATCCACTATGATGACTGACATTTTGTTTCCACCTTGTATCCATAGGCACTATCTTCATCCTCAGTGATGATGATTTTCATCAGACCTAGCCCATATCAGAAGCTCTTCACTTGCACTCACTGGAAAAAAGAAATTGCAAAATGTAATCAATATCAACATATGTTTATACATATGAACATAACAACAATTGAAGATAGAACAAACTGATTTTGGCAGATAGTACAAATACTTTCTGCTAGAGAACTGTCCAAGTTTTATTCAAATTCGATTATCAGATGGTGTGTAATTTAAAAGTTTATGAACATTCCAGACAGACCTTATATACATAAAATATGAAGTATGCAGTAAGGGTCAAAAGTTCTTGGTCTGAGTGAGAAGTGTCAAATAAATTGAAAGATGTATATTATTTTTGAATAAAGTTTTCTTTTATTGCAATACATTTTTCATAATGTGGAATTAACAAATTTATACAGTCAAAAAATTACTTTGTGTTTGCTCTCAAAATGTTCAAAAACAGCTACTTTGACCTCTTCATTGCTGTTAAACTGTTGTCTGTGAAGATCAAATTTCAATTTTGAAAACAAATAGTAGTCTCTTGGGGCCAGGTTGGGACTGTACAGTGGGTGAGGAAGTTTGCTGAAGCTTCATTCTTTAATGGCATCCTTGACATGAAACACAGTGTGAATGGGTGTATTGTCATGCAGGAGTCACACGCCTTTTGAAAGTTTATCCCTTCTTTTTTCTTTTATTTCATCCTGGAGTTTTACCTTCAGATTGGAATAATATTCAGCATGGTAGAATTTCTCTTCTTGAAGTTGATCAATAAAATTTCATTGTAATCCCAGAAAATCATTGCTATACCCTCCTTTGGAATGCTTTCAGCTTCTTTGGAGGATATTCCTATGTATAGCACAATTCCATCAATTCTCTTTTTGACAAAGGATCATAGTATAGAACTATGGTCTTATCCCTAGTGACAATAGACTGCAGAACTTCTTTGTTCTCTTTGCAGAGCTCCAAAAACTGTTAAGTGCAGTTTGGCCTGCTGTTGTTTTTTGAATCATGGTAGGAATTTTGGTTATCCAATGTGCACTGACCTTATTCATTAACAAATGTTAATGAGGAATTTGAAGAACTGTTGTTTTTGACCAGTTTAATCTTACAGAAGTTTCTTTTATCTTCAGACATCAATCTTTCATTCTCAACAAATGCAATGCATTCTTCAGTAAATGCTGGGTGTCTGCTGCTTCATCAAGAGATTTCCTTCCAAGTTTAAAAAGTTTTGCCCATTGTTTTACTATTGAATACAATGGAGAAGCATTGCTGTATGAATTATGAAGGCACTTGTGAACTTCTGATGGTGTTCAATCTTCTTTTGTGAAGAACTTTATCACTGCACAATTATCTAGATTATCTAGCGTAAAGGTGATGAAGACCCAGGACTACTCATAGATATTGCCTGGGTGTGAAAGGAAGAAGGAAAAAGGATTTTAGGGAAGAGATGAAGGTGAAGTAATAAAGCGAGATAGGAAAGGGGATGAAAGGGAAGTATCATGAGTGCCCTGCTTCTTTTATTGAAACATAAATCAAAACATACAAAATGGCACCTGGGCGATAAAAATACAAAATTTCAATTACAGTAGAGCGTCGATTATCAAAATCAATTGGGGACGGGGGTTTTTTCGGAAAATCGATATTTCGGATAACCAATTATGTACGAAAAAATATATTAACCTATCCCATGTTGAAATTTTTCTCCGTTGCGTGTCGCTTCGCGTTGAATTTTCGTCGATGTTAAGTCTAACTAAGACTATTGTATCGTTAAAAATAATTTATTTATTTTGTACAAACAAAATAAATAAATTATTTATTTATTTATTTTGTTGAAGTATGCAGTAAGGTTCAAAAGTTCTTGGTCTGAGTGAGAAGTTCAATTTTTTCAATTTATTTATTTTGTACAAACAAAATAAATAAATTGAAAAATATAAAAACTATACTTCAGAAGTTAATTTAATATCAAAAACGTAAAATATTTGAGTAGCCCAAGAAATAACCAAAGATTGCAGCGCCACAGCACTGGTGAAAATTTAAATTTGCCGACTGGAATTCTTTCGGATAATCGACGCTCTACTGTATTTATAATTATTTACATTGAAGATGTTTACACTGCTGACAGTTTGTTACCCAAAACATGGGCAATGCTTTTGATCCTTGAAACTATGTACAATTTAATGTAAGAGATGCCCAGTAACCAATACAACTAGAAGTAATGAAATTGCAATTCTATTGATGTTTAAGGTAATTATTAAATGTAATTAACAAAACCACAGTATTTAAATACAATATATCTATTCTGAGTATACATTATATTGTCGCGCCGGCTTCAGAGGAGACTAGCATCATGGTGCAGAGATTGGCGGAACAAAAAAGAAGGATTAAAAAAAAAAAGAAGAACAATTCGGAAAAAAAAGAACACTGGAGAAGTCTTTCTTTTAACGAGAGATATAAAGTTTTTGTTGTTAGTGTATCTAGAAAGCGTCAGTTTCGGTAAACTGTATTTTGAATTTATATCCCAAGCCCCACAGCTACTAACAATATTAAAAGCTAATACATAATGTCCGTACGTTTTGTTACTTTAACAATGACAATATAAAAACTTATTCTCTGGTCAATGACTTTTGACCTGAAATACATAACAATTAATAGTGTATTTGTTGCTTTACTTATAAATACTATAAACATAGAAGAAACTGCCGATATCACTTGAGTAGTTCTGCAGTAGTTGACTAATTCACCAAGTGAAGAACACATCGTTTCTGCATGTCATCACTACTTGAATTGTCAATGATGATAACTTGGAGCAAAGTCCGAGACCTTTTCTTATGATCTCCTTCTGTCGATGCAAGTTATCTCTATTGAACTCTGCTGTTCTTCTTTTCAATGTTGAGGATGCTGTTCCTTTGAAACTGATGCAGAATTAATGTACTAAATTTTTGTAATCCATACACTATCACAATGTTTCACAAATTTTCAAAACACTTTTTTCTTTTTTCTAACCTCATGGATAAAGACCTCATGGATAACCTCATGGATTTGAAAATTATTACATAATTTTCAAACACATTCTTTTGGCGATGATGCTAATGCACAATTATGTTGTTCTGAAGTTAGTCTCTAGTGGTTTGGTTCTAGTGATAAATGTTTGTAGTTCATGATAGAGATCACTATTGTTCACAAAATGATGTGGCTGACATGGCCAATTAAGACCATGTTGAATAGTATTTTGAATGAGAGAGCTATGCTCCCTGTCAAAAAGGTTGCAGCTGAATATGAGGTGATTGATGTCTTGAAGAGATGTACAGTACCATCACAATCACAAAGTTCATTGTCTCTTAATCCAAATCTATATAGGTACTGTTTGAGATTTCCATGACCTGTTAAAGTCTGTGACATTATGTTGTTAATATTCAGATGCTACATTTTGAGACAATGTTGAATGTTTGGTATGAAACCATATGTTACTCTCCCCGTGTCTCCTTTCTCCCATTCCATTTGCCATAATTGGATGATGGTTTCTTGAAGCAAGTTTTTTATATTATTTTCTGTGAGTTCAGTATATATGATGTTATGTTCACTATTGGCAAATTGCTTCGCCAGTCTATCAGCTGCCTGATTTCCTTGGATTCCACAATATCCTTTCATCCAAGCGAAACTCACCTTAAAGCTGTGCAAATTAGTCAATTTGTCCTGAATAAGATTTGTCGTGTAGCATTTTGAATTTTCACTATTTATCCTGTGTAATGCCATTTGGCTATCGGTGCATATTCTCAAATGTCCTCTGTAATTTTTAAGAGTGTAGATATAGGAGATGGCTTGATAGATGGCATATATTTCACCTTCTGGCACCGTGGTGTAGCTAACCAGTTTAAAACCAGCTTCGTGTCTGTACTGTGAGTTGCCGTGTATAAAATGGATGAATGCTGTTCCTACATTATTATTGTTTTTAGAGCCATCCTTAAATACGAGATGTTTAGGAATTGGCTCTGCGTTAACCTCTGTTATCTCCACTTTGTTATTACTTGCTGGATGAGTATAAGTATTAGTCTTCTTTGTTACGCCTTCTTCCTGCACAAAGTTTTTGAGAAAAGTGTAGTCTAGGTTAGGGAGAATTCCTATCTCTGCATATTTCTTTAGTTTATTGTTGCCGTCGTCAGTAATGAGTATATTTTTAAGTGTCCATGTCCATGTTAATTTCTTGGCTTTCAAGTGTAGTGGAGCACATCCTGCAAGTACCTGTAGTGTGGCGTTTGACGTTGTCCGGTACGCTCTACACAGTCTAATAAGCAAAGGTCTTTGTATTGAGTTTAATTTGCATTTGATGTTGATCTTATCAATTTTCTCACCCCAGATACAGGATAGCCGGTTCTATGCAGGCTTTGTTTAACATTTCAATAACCTTTTGATTTAGGCCCCATTCTTTATGGGCAATGCTGAGCATGGTATTCATTATTTTGCAAACTTTTCCTGCCATATACAGTAGATCCCCCTATAAAACCGTTTCCTATAGTTATGATTCCTATAAAAATTGTGGCAGTATCCGTAAACAACGGTAAAAATAACTCCTATAATACGTAAAACGTCATCGGGCANTTAACTCAAGAAAAACAAACAGCATTGGTAAGTCTGTAATTATTTTTATCTTATGCCAAAAATGAACATTTGATGAGGATTACCAAATTTGTTAATTTACTTATTTTATTAAATATTTTGTTTTTATTTGTAAATCATTAGTTATATTTGGATTGTAGCAATAATGCTGCTTTAGTTTACTGCTTTAGATAGATATTAGATATCAACTATCTATTCATGTTTTATATAACTTTTTATAGTAGTTTTCTCAATTAACTTAGCTTACACAGAGCATATCTAGTTATTTGAAATTTTCAATCTATAACTTCAGATAATTTATTATTAATATAAGTTCAAGAAAGAATGATGAAAACCAATCCTCAAGGAATTCCATGTGTAAGATAAATGCTTGAAATCTGATATTTTTATTATAGATTTGTCCACAATGTTTGCATATTTTGCAAATAGAAATTGTTTAAATTTTTCTAGGAGCTAGCTAGTTTTGTCACCTTTGAAGTAGTCCCCTCCTGAGTTTAGGCACTAACTCCAGCTTTTTTCTGCCATGAACTGAATAATTCTTTTGGAGTGCTGCACTATTCTGCTAGTGAATTTTCCTTAACGGCATCAGTGGATTCAAAATGGTGACATTTGAGAGTGGATTTTAATTTGGGAAACAAAAAGAAGTTTGCTGGAGCTTAGTCTGGTGAATAGGGAAGTTGGGGATCAAGTGACATTGAGTTCTTGGCCAAAAACTATTATCAGCAGTGATGTGTGGGTGGGTACAGTACATTGTCATGATGCTCTTTTCTTCAAGCAGTTGGTCTTTTCTTCCTCATTATTTCACAAAGATATTTCATCACTTTTGGATAGTATTCATGGTGAATGACACCTTCAGAATCAAACAAAACAGTGAGCAAGACCTTCACATTCAATCAAACTTGTCACAACTTTTTGGGTTATGGTGAAGATTTTCCATCCACTATGATGACTGACATTTTGTTTCCACCTTGTATCCATAGGCACTATCTTCATCCTCAGTGATGATGATTTTCATCAGACCTAGCCCATATCAGAAGCTCTTCACTTGCACTCACTGGAAAAAAGAAATTGCAAAATGCAATCAATATCAACATATGTTTATACATATGAACATAACAACAATTGAAGATAGAACAAACTGATTTTGGCAGATAGTACAAATACTTTCTGCTAGAGAACTGTCCAAGTTTTATTCAAATTCGATTATCAGATGGTGTGTAATTTAAAAGTTTATGAACATTCCAGACAGACCTTATATACATAAAATATGAAGTATGCAGTAAGGGTCAAAAGTTCTTGGTCTGAGTGAGAAGTGTCAAATAAATTGAAAGATGTATATTATTTTTCAATAAAGTTTTCTTTTATTGCAATACATTTTTCATAATGTGGAATTAACAAATTTATACAGTCAAAAAATTACTTTGTGTTTGCTCTCAAAATGTTCAAAAACAGCTACTTTGACCTCTTCATTGCTGTTAAACTGTTGTCTGTGAAGATCAAATTTCAATTTTGAAAACAAATAGTAGTCTCTTGGGGCCAGGTTGGGACTGTACAGTGGGTGAGGAAGTTTGCTGAAGCTTCATTCTTTAATGGCATCCTTGACATGAAACACAGTGTGAATGGGTGTATTGTCATGCAGGAGTCACACGCCTNTTAATTTTCATTGACATTTTTTATTTTTCCATTTATGTGTATTTTAAAAGCTTTTTGCAGTTGTTTTCCCTTAAAAATAAAAAAAACATTTAACTATCCAGCATAATTCTTTAATAACATAAAAATGTTTTCAAACGCATTGAGCGTTCATCATCAGTTATTTCTCTAATTCGAAATGGGAAATTCGAAAAATTACACAATCGAACTTCAAATAAACGGTTATGTAAAAAATTTTGTTTTCCCTTTGTAAGTACCATACTTTTGCATTTGTCGTAATTTATTTCAAGTTTATTCAGTGTTCCCCATTCATATATTTTACTAAGTATCCCATTGGCCTCCTCCTGCAACCTTTCACCGTTTTTATGTGACATCATTAGGATCGTATCATCGGCGTAGCTTTGTATCAGCCAGTTTTCTTCATTATTGTTGTTCATTTTGAGCAGATCAATACATACAGTATTCCACAATCCTGGGCCCAATCTCGACCCTTGCGGGCATCCTCTATTTATGGGGCAAATGATGTTGTCTCTATGGTGGTAGACCCCAGTAGTTCTTTCTGATAGGTAGTTATTAAGGACTGCAAAAAGATTTTTAGGGCATCTGGCCTGTTTTAGTTGACAAAAGAGTGCTGGCCACCAAAGTGTATTAAATGCATTCTTATAGTCGATGGCCACAATTAGGGCATGTTCTTGTTGATTCCAAGCATTTTTGACAAAGTTAATGAGCTTATATATCGTATGATAAGTTGAACGTCCTTTAGTAAATCCATATTGATTTTCACTCATCCAGTTATTATTGTATAGGTGGAAAGTTACTCTGTCTATTATCAAACCATCAAGTACCTTACCTGGTATTGACAATAGACTTATTGGTCTATAATCTTTCATTTTAAAGTCTCCATTCAAACCTGACTTTGGGATAAATTTAATATCCGCCTGTTTCCATATTTTTGGAAAAATCCCTGTTTTAAGACATTTGTTATACGTGTATGAGAATGCCATTGGAACTGCACAAAATGTATGCTTTAGCATTTCTGGTGTAATTCCATCCGGTCCAGGCGCTTTTTTATACTTAATCGAAGTTATGGCTCTTAATTTCCACAAATGTAAATGGTCTGTCATTTTCCGTTTCCGGAGGACTGTAGGTATTAAATCTAATCATTTCTTGTGTGTTGTTATCTTCTTCCTCTCTGTCGCTGAGAAAGTGTGTGTCCATTAAGTAGTTGACAGTTTCTGCATATCCATTTGTATATGTTCCGTCAGTTTTCAAAATGTTTGCTGGGATTTCACTTCTTGTCTTTTTCCTACAAACCATGTAGTATGGCTCACTCCATACATTTTGTTTACTGCTTTGAGTACAAAATTGTTGCCACGCCTGACTCCTAGTTCTATTTATTTTTGTTTTGTAGTCATTAAAACATCTAAGATATTCATTTCTTCTTTCATTCCGGATCTATTTCTGAATGATATTTTTTTTTTGTAATTTACGTGTTTTCTGTCTTAAAATGAAGAGCTGGTGTTCCACCAGTGTGCGTTTTTAGTTTTAACTTGCGTATAAGTCGTAGAGTGATTATAAGCTTGCATGATACAACTGTTGAGATGTTCAGCTAACATGTCAATATCTGTTATGTTATTTATTTGCTGTGTGGCCCATAAGTTGCTGAAGTAGTTTTTAAAAGTACAGTAGAGCATCGATTATCCGACCCTCGATCAACTGTCACATCGGTTAACCGACCGCTTCTAGTCGGCAAATTCAAATGTCTGCTAGTGATGTGGCGCTACAATATTTGGCTATGTCTTGGCTACTTTAATATTATTTTCACGTGTTTTAGCTGGCAACACTGGCTCGACCATGAAAGGGAGCCAGTATTTAAACGAGGCTTAATTTTCTAATTTTTAATGATACAATAGCGACGATTATTATTTTAAAAAAATTTTTGTTAGGCTTAACATCGATGAAAATTCAACACGAAGTAGGTTAATACTAATATACTAATTACATGGGATATACTAATATACTATACTAATAATGTATTTTTTCATATTTTTAGGTTATCTGTTTTTTCAGTTATCTGACTAACCCCAGTCCCCAATTGAGTCGGATAATCGATGCTCTACTGTATTCCATTCTGTATGTTTGTTGATGTTGTTATCAGTATGTTGTGCAGGAGTATTTGTAAGGTTCCATATGATGTATCTGTGGTCACTTGCCCTTTTCTGTCCTTTTCATCCCTACCTCTATCTGAGGCCACTTCAGCCTTTTTCTGTGTAGATCTCTCTTGGAACAAGTCCCCCATTAAGCATGTATCATAAATAATGCCAATGTAATGAATAGACAATATAACACAATTGTACTATACTAATTTAAATTATTAGAATATTAACTATCCTAATAAAATCCAACCAAATTCAAATCAAGATAATGAGATCGCAGCAATGCGCGACGGGTAAGCTAGTATTGTATATAATATAATACTGTATTATATATATGTTACTGGCCAAACCCGATTTCAGACCAAATGGGTTTATCCTACGAGTGTCAGGATATACTAGTTTAGCCCAGGACAATCTAGTTTGGCCTAAATACTTTAGGCTTAACTAGTTTGACCTAGGCCAAACAGATTTATTCATTGCAAGTGATAAAATAAAACACATTAGAACGTATTAACGCAGGGATTTCCCTCTCGCGCCCCTTTCTATCATGCTTTCGCTATCTATTTGTGTTTTTTGTGAACTATATAGGGCACTGCATTTTACAAAATGGCTACTTTATCTGGGTCATTTGTAACTAGTAATGTAAAATTAATCATATATTACTGTCCAATATAATGATATATATCATAAAAACAGCACACCTCTGAACCTTAAAAGTACAATTCCAGGATATTTTAATGCAAACACAAACATTTTCGATCTACACAGGAGATCTTCCTGAGGTTAAAGCGTTCTCAAATAGAATGCGGAAATGGAACATTCTTAAGATTATTTGAAAAATGTATAAACGAGAATTTAAAAAAAANCATTGAATAAAATTACTTACCTAACATCAGTACCAGCAACAGCTAAAAATGTTCCACTCTGATCAAAACTTAAATTTTTAACCTAAAAATTAATTTTTATATATGAAAATTGTTACTTTTCGAGAATAAAAAGCAGATTAAAGTTTCAACTCTACCTCATAATTTTGTACATTTTTATGCCTTGTGTCTGAAGTTTTTAGTTTTTTTTCTTTCCTTCTTTGCTTTCATAATAAATTTTAAAAAATCTATAATCTTTATTAACTTAACTTGGATAAGTCAGCTTTGTTAGGTGGTAAAGGTGAATTTAAACATTTTGGGGAAAAAACTTTATTGACAATTAACTCAACAATGATTACAGTTCAGTCTTGTAGGTATCAATCACATCCCACCACTTTTGTTGCAAATTTTCGGTCTCGTGAGCATAGCACAACTGGGATTTTTCTTTGAAAAAAGATCTTGATCATACGGTATTGTCGTTGAACTATGTATTGCCAATATGTTTCTGCAGGGGCAAAATAGATGGTAGTCAGTAGCCAAGTCTGGACCATAAGGTGGACAAGGCAGAACCTCCCACTAGGGTTGCCACCTCAGAACTTAGTCTCGCCCGGAGACGATGATTTAAGAAACAAAAAAAACCCATATGCATACATATACAGTTTTTTTATTTATATAAATCCCATAAAAAACAATTAAGTGTTAATCGTGCATCATTAAAGGTTGATTAAAATCGCGATAAAATTTTTTCGCGCGGGTAAAAATTTTTGAATTAAAAAACATAAAATATATATATCAAATATCAAATCAAATATCAAATATATGATATATATTTCATATTTGATTAAAATATATATATATATATATATATATAGATATTATAAAAATGGACATTNTTTTTGAGGGTCCAACAGACCGTTTGTTATGTAATGCTATTTAACCTGCTCAAGTCTAACTCTAACTATATACTATAACTTACCATTAATCAACCAACATGAACACTGATTATCAAACTATCAGCTATGTACGCTATATCATTTCACTCTCAATAGACATCTCTTGACAGAACAGTCACAAGAAAGAGTACATCCACATAGCATGCAGCAGCACTGCGCCTATGCCAGTTATAGACGTTATGTCTTTAAGCCAACGACTACCACACTAGTAATTCGGTACACGAGGGAAGAAATATATGCGACGGTTTGCATGTAATTTTGTACATATTCATTTCAATTTGCACAACCCGGAGAAATATTAATTAACCCCGGAGCCCGGAGATAACTCACTTAATCCCGGAGTCTCCGGGTCAAACCCGGACAGGTGCCAACCCTACCTCCCACTCCAGATTGATTAGCTTCTTTACAGTCATCTTTGCTTTATGTGCTGGCACATTGTCACAGTGGATTCAAACTTTATTGATTTTTAGATGAAATTCTTTGATCTCGATGTTGAAATGATCCGAGTTCTTTCGTGACAATGATGTCGGTTGGAAGCAGTTCCACAAACACAGATCATCGCCTTCAGCACCATTGGCCTTTTGACATTTGCAGTAGTCGATCGACCTTTGTTCACCCACTAACATTAACAAATACTTTGCAGATGAGTCTCGAGCCTTGGTTGTGTTGTGGCCACTTTTGAAGCAATAGACAAATAGCGCACGCAAATGTGTTCTTTCCAAAGTTTTGTATTGTCGCGCATTGCTTCCCAATAAAATAAGTGACAAAATGTCTTTTGGTTACTGTACTTAAATACCCACATCGAACATTCTAGATATCTAGAACATTTTTCCCAGTTGTTTCTAGAAACAAGTCAAAATGTCATAATTTCACTTTTACAACCCGATAAAATATTACAACAAAGTTCAGTGTTTTATAATATGAATAGCTAAAAACATTTCTTCTAATTTTTGTAGTTTGAAAAAATCCATATATGTTCCGGACAGTGACAACAGCAAAAGCATTTCTCCCAGGTGTGACTTAAGCACAGAGTTGTTCATACCGGAGAGTGACGGAGATGACGATGATCTGGTCTGCACCCACATCGAATACAGAAACAAATCTCTTGATAGTTCCGAACTCGACCCCCTAAGAGAGGTCCAACATCGACGCGATGCAAACTCGGATCGGTTGCAGTCTGTGCCCGAAGTCACACGGAAGAATCGTTCAGCCGACAGATCGCAAGTGTCAAGCAAGGCACACAGCACCGTATACATCTCTAGCGACAGCGAAGACGGCGACGATGCCAGATCCATCGATCGCTCTACTAATTTTGCGACATCGCAGCACAACTTTGTGATAATCGAAGACGACTGTCACATGGACAAACACAACGCATTAACTCAAATCGGAAGCGAAAATCTATCTGTGGTTCCTAATCGAAATTTATGTCAGAGTTCTGTTGATTTAAAATCTCTGGCAAAGTTTGTGGAAGACGAAACTATGGAATTTAGTAGGGACAATTCAGAAATTTCAATTGTGGACAAAGAAAATCGATTGTTAACGGATAAAAACGGGACGGAAACTATGTCGTTTGTTAAGCGAATAACACCGCTCAGAGTATCCAAATCATCCGATTATGGGGCGAACAGTCCCTTTCAGAAAGCCCTGAAAGCTTCGTTGGAACGATATCCGGCTACTTCCAGTCCCTTGGGATCTGCAGGGAAGTCCATCAAGCCGGTTTCGATGTTGTTGGACGATAAAAGTTACGACAAAATAACCAATGTCTCCATCATATCTTCGGAGGACGAAGAATCGACGGAAAACCTGTCTGCAATGAATAAATACGAAAGTTCTTCAGAGGAAAGTGCCATTATTAGTGCATGCAAGAAGAAGAAAATTATCATTTCAGATAGCGAGTGAATTTTGATACTGTATTTATAAATTTTTTTTATAAAATTATTTTTTCATTGTATAATTTTATAGCCATGCCAATTTCTTAGATAATAAAAGAATTTATGCTTTTTGTCAATTTACTAATTATTTATTTAAAAGGATGATCAAAAATATTTTCTTTTGCTTTGTTTGTTTAGTTATGGCAATGCAACACTTGGGCAATCTGCCTAGGGAGGTGTCTTCCGGGAGGTCTTTTTAAGGGAAACTGGTCCATATTTATGCGTTACTGACGTGGAGAAAACCCAGAAAACTCCATGTGGCCAGCCCGTCCGAGCGAAGTATGAACCTATGACTGAACCTGTGTTCGGGGTGAAGACCACTTGGCCACTGGTGGGCCTTTTTCTTTTGCACTTATGCCATTGTGCAGATAATTGCTAGAACACAAAATCTTTGACTAACTTGTCACTCCCCGGTGATGTCTAATCAGTAACCAGTTTAATATTAACTTTATCCAGTTTGATGTTGCATTAATACGCGAAATCCCGACGGCGACCGAGGAATCTCCAAAAAGCAAAATAAATCAAAATCTTAGGAATTTGATTCATTTCATTGAATGGACGAAATAGATATTAATCGACTTATTCAAACGAATTTCGTTCAAATTTCGGGTATCATCAAGCCTCGAGATGTAGAATTTAACATTGTCTTTTACCTCTCCACTGTAGACATTCTGCACCATGTAAGTGCAGAAGACAATTTATTTATCAAATTCTGAACACAAGAAAATGATTGAAGCAAAATTTGAAGAAAAAATTATAAATTAATTCATTAAAATAATAAAATTGATTTTTTATTTTTATTCTTACGAAATTCGAATGTTGTTGACGTGTCTTTTAATGTTTGTTTGAAATTTGTCACACGTGACAATTTGCAGTTTGATTGTGCTTTTGTTGAGCTCTGATTGCGTTGATTGTTTCGCTGTTTGCTAAAGATTTTTTAGGTAATAGTTAATATTCATCCTAGACGTAAGATTTTATTTAATATTTGCAGAAGAATCATTGCCAGAAGACATCTCGGCCCATTGATGGGCGATTCGAATCTTTTAAATTTAAATACGGAACTACGGTAAGCATTTTGCTTTTCTCGTCAATGTAATTTAAGCTTTTGTTTTCACTCGACTAATTGCAAATTTTCTTTTTTACAGAATGATGATGTTGGAGTGGTTCCGCAGGAGGTTCTGATGGAAGAAGGCGATGGTGCCGGAGGGTGTTCCTCTGACGGCACGGAACGAGTCTGTTAGATTCTGACCACGCCGGGAGAGACATTGGAACACTGGAGGCTCAAGCGAGAGGCAGCGGGTGAAGACCTTCGAGTGCATGTGGCGTGGCACTCTTCCGAAATCGAGATTATGTGATGCTACACTATGGGTCTGTCACACTTGGCCAAGGTCTTTGGGGATAATCAGGCCACAGACCTTGTTGTGGAGAATGTAGGGAGTGACAGCTCATTTGAGTTATCACTTCCTGTTTTCTCACATTTTACCTCTTCGTCTGCCGCTGCCTTGCGGAAGTCAGAATGGGGAGGAATCTGAGGAGAGAGCTGCCGAAGTCTTGGGACCGTGGTTTTGTTGCTGTGGACAGCTGCGGTTTGAAGAGGACAAAGCGGCCGTTCATCATACAAGTGAATATTTCCCGAAATCTTCGATGGTAAGAACACTTTCATTTTTTTACACATCTTATTCTCTTATCGTAATTTACTGTTTTCAGATGGATTGAAATCCTCCAATCAGCGCTCAGTAGCGCTATCGGACGTGCGCTGGTCGTACAATGTTTTCTAGCCAATCCGCTGTCAAACTCAAACACTACTGACATTACCTGATCTGCGTTTCCATGATGACAGCCTGTTTTTGAACAAGCAACTTGTTCAAAAACAGGAAAAGTGCAGAAAATCGTACATCCAGACAATTTATCCTGACACCTCCACGGCTGAGAATCAAACTGAGCTTACTTAAGCCTGTTTGATTCCTAACCAACACCAAATAATCTTACAAAAAAAATTGTCCGATAGAATCAGACTGACAGATACGCATCTATTATTTTAAGAATTTCATTAAGCAATACAGCTCTCCCTTGATAGTCCGACATCTTTTAATCCGCATGCTCAGTAGTCCGACGCAGCTCCTGTCAAGGTACCTGTCCCAGTTACGTGTCTGCTTGCACAGAAGCATGTTGCGACGTGAATCTCCCCATCCAATTCTTACACGACGACACACATTTCTTGTGTTTTCTGTGAGCAGTTCTGTTTGAACAGTTGGAGTAGGGAATATTGTAAGCTACTGCTAGCAAAACAATGCAAAATATGTAATTATTTTCGGTAATCCAGACACTTTTTGGTCCCATACCTGTCGGACTATTAAGGGAGAGTTGTATTTAAATACATAATTATGGAAGAATAATTAATGACTGAAAGTTTGATTTGATATAATTTTCTCCACTTGAATATAAACCTTAACGTTTGCCAAAAAGAGTAACACTGGGGATTTAGAAGGTTTATATTCAAGTGGAGAAAATTATATTACCTCCAGTGGTAGATAGGAAGTTCATTTGATTTGATATGTTTAACTTTTTGAATAAAATTCTATTAAAAATATTCAAATTGTTTAATATCAAATAAGATTACTTTTTAAAGAATAAAACAATTAAATTATAAGAAAGAGATTTTATTTTTTAATAAATGGATTTATTATAAATTTCACAAAAACTTGCATAATGACGACGTTACATAACAGAAAGGTGTATTAATTCATGTGAACATTTTGGCTGTGACGACGCAGTCTAACCTAGTTTTTTATGTTCATTAGAACATAAAAAACTAGGTTATACATAAAAAAACTAAATTCTTGACATCATATGCCGTAAATTTTTAGTGTCCTGTCCATACTAACCGAGGCGATGAAGTGTGCGTATTGGCCAAAATGAACATCCGTGGCCAGAGCGGTGTGGTCAGAAAAGACTTTCTGATTGTCCCACTGTTTACATAAATATATTCTGTTGACAAAGAAAAAACAAATAAGATAATTATTGATGTGTTACATAGACAATCTTAAATACAATTATTACAACTATATTGTGTTAAAAAATTAATAAATGCCTAAAAGTTTGAACCAAATGATTCACAAATGTGCCAATTCCAGCTAAGTTAAAAAGTTCAACCTGAATTGAATTTTCACACACACCTGAATTATTAATTATTTATAACCTTACTAACATGCAGTGTTCTATTTGAAATCCAAATTCTTGAATCATTAAAATCAAATATATAATAAACCATAAAATCCCAGCAAAACTGTTTTTATAGCTTGCGTGTTTGATACAACTGATACTTTCTCTGAACCACTCTTCTCTCCTGCCCACATTTATTCTTTAAAGCAATCCAGCTTGTGCTGTTACAAAAATCACACTGCTTCTTTCAACCTAATAAATTCAAGACATGTCTGTAGAGCATATAACTTATCTGACTCTGCTGTTGCTCTTAATGATGTATTCACTGCCATAAAGCACGAGTCTGGGCCAAACAACAAATCTAAGTTAGATGTCCTGGAGTTTTTCCTCCTCCTTCCTATCCTTAATTAACATTCCAGGTTGTCTCTAGGAATGCAAATGCCAAATCATCTGTACCTTTTCAGGGACATATCTCAAAAAATCACCCAACTATTTACTGCTCACAACTTTATTTTTTATTACTAACTTTAATTTACTGGTTATAGCTGTATATTCGTTTGTGAATGGTTGTCTCTTTAATCCTTTCGGTAGACTATCTTACAGCATCAAATTAATGAATTCTTTTATTATATTTTTACATATGCATTTCGAACTGGTTTCACATTTCCAGTTCCTCTTCAGTGTTCTATAAATTACAATTATAGAAATTAAGTTGGCAAAAAATATACAGATTAAAAAACTAACAAAGTATTTAGGTGTCAAGTAACACAACATAAACACATTACTAATACCTTTAAGGATTTTACACATATCTTTTTTTCCCCAGTTGGATTGTTACATTGATATGGTATCTTCATTTATCACGTTATATTGTCTTTCGTGGTATGAATCACAGTATGACATAACAATTGCTATAATTAATACAATCACAAAAAAAAAAACAACAACAACAAAATTTAGTGACATAAGTAGTTTAAAAAACTTGTAAAGTTCTCAGAAAATTATACGTACAGGTTTTTTCTGTGTACTTACTTTACTCAAAACAACAGTACAAGGCGTAAAATGTAATATGATGAAAATATCGCTATAAAACAAAACAAATATAAAAACTAAGTGGTAAATATTTCTAAAAAAAGGAAAAGGGTTTTTTTCCCCTTATAAAATATACANTTAACTTTTTGAATAAAATTCTATTAAAAATATTCAAATTGTTTAATATCAAATAAGATTACTTTTTAAAGAATAAAACAATTAAATTATAAGAAAGAGCTTTTATTTTTTAATAAATGGATTTATTATAAATTTCACAAAAACTTGCATAATGACGACGTTACATAACAGAAAGGTGTATTAATTCATGTAAACATTTTGGCTGTGACGACGCAGTCTAACCTAGTTTTTTATGTTCATTATTCTTGACATCATATGCCGTAAATTTTTAGTGTCCTGTCCATACTAACCGAGGCGATGAAGTGTGCGTATTGGCCAAAATGAACATCCGTGGCCAGAGCGGTGTGGTCAGAAAAGACTTTCTGATTGTCCCACTGTTTACATAAATATATTCTGTTGACAAAGAAAAAACAAATAAGATAATTATTGATGTGTTACATAGACAATCTTAAATACAATTATTACAACTATATTGTGTTAAAAAATTAATAAATGCCTAAAAGTTTGAACCAAATGATTCACAAATGTGCCATTTCCAGCTAAGTTAAAAAGTTCAACCTGAATTGAATTTTCACACACACCTAAATTTTATTCAGATTATTAATTATTTATAACCTTACTAACATGCAGTGTTCTATTTGAAATCCAAATTCTTGAATCATTAAAATCAAATATATAATAAACCATAAAATCCCAGCAAAACTGTTTTTATAGCTTGCGTGTTTGATACAACTGATACTTTCTCTGAACCACTCTTCTCTCCTGCCCACATTTATTCTTTAAAGCAATCCAGCTTGTGCTGTTACAAAAATCACACTGCTTCTTTCAACCTAATAAATTCAAGACATGTCTGTAGAGCATATAACTTATCTGACTCTGCTGTTGCTCTTAATGATGTATTCACTGCCATAAAGCACGAGTCTGGGCCAAACAACAAATCTAAGTTAGATGTCCTGGAGTTTTTCCTCCTCCTTCCTATCCTTAATTAACATTCCAGGTTGTCTCTAGGAATGCAAATGCCAAATCATCTGTACCTTTTCAGGGACATATCTCAAAAAATCACCCAACTATTTACTGCTCACAACTTTATTTTTTATTACTAACTTTAATTTACTGGTTATAGCTGTATATTCGTTTGTGAATGGTTGTCTCTTTAATCCTTTCGGTAGACTATCTTACAGCATCAAATTAATGAATTCTTTTATTATATTTTTACATATGCATTTCGAACTGGTTTCACATTTCCAGTTCCTCTTCAGTGTTCTATAAATTACAATTATAGAAATTAAGTTGGCAAAAAATATACAGATTAAAAAACTAACAAAGTATTTAGGTGTCAAGTAACACAACATAAACACATTACTAATACCTTTAAGGATTTTACACATATCTTTTTTTCCCCAGTTGGATTGTTACATTGATATGGTATCTTCATTTATCACGTTATATTGTCTTTCGTGGTATGAATCACAGTATGACATAACAATTGCTATAATCAATACAATCACAAAAAACAATAAAATTTAGTGACATATAAGTAGTTTAAAAAACTTGTAAAGTTCTCAAAAAATTATACGTACAGGTTTTTTTTTGTGTACTTATTTTACTAAAAACAACAGTACAAGGCGTAAAATGTAATATGGTGAAAATATCGCTATAAAACAAAACAAATATAAAAACTAAGTGGTAAATATTTCTAAAAAAGGAAAAGGGTTTTTTCCCCTTATAAAATATACATACGGACTTTTCTTTTTTTGGTTTAATATTCTTTGAACATTATTCTATTCATCAATTTTGGGCTTAGATCCGCAATATAATTAAACATTGCTACAAATAACAATATGCAATAACAATATGATTATAAACCTCGTAACAAATAAGTTGTACAAAGATTTCTATAAAAATATACATACAGGTTTTTTTCTTCATTAAATTCCAATTATGTATTGTAAAAATTCACAAATGTTAATTTACACAAGGTAATTCACGCACAGTAACTTTTACAATCTTACATTTAGTGTTAAGTATCACAAAAAATTTTTATTGGTCTATTGCAGGGGTGGCAAACCTTTTGCATACCATTCGCCAATTTTTTGACAGACGAGTTCAAATGCGCCATATAACTCGAACACTTTTTATACAGTCTTACGTTCAATGTTAGGGGTTGATAAATAGAAATAAGAATAAATCTGCTTCGCTTAGGAAAGAAAAGGGAATAACTTAATCACACAGTTGAATTAATTAATTTATGACAGTTTATTGAAGCACCAATTTACAATAGTCAACAATGATCTCCTGTACGAGAGGGTGATTGCTTCATGATGGTGCTATTGCTGCCAGAGTCTCGTTTGGTGAAGATTACTCTGCACCACAATTATTGGCACTGAGAA